ACATTTAGGTAGCTCAAGAGATTTGGTAACGCAGGGACGCCTAGGATGGTAAGGAGGAGGAAGCTTCTGGAAACGGAAACTAAGGTATTGGGGTTAATTAGGATCTTTAAGGATTTAAATAGGAATGAAAAGGTGTGTGCATATCACGGCGAAGACGGATAGGAAGCCAGTTCAGTTGAACACGAAAAGTGAGACATGGTCATATTTACGTAGTCTAAAAATGAACCGAATTGCGAGATTCTGAAGACGCTCAAGCTTATTCAATCGATCTTCATTCACATCTAGATAGCAAATGCCAGTTTAGTTGAGAATGGGAAGCCCAAGAAATTGCGCCAGCATAATTTTGATTTTAAAGGGAAGAAAAGATTGAAGGCGCTTGAGAGAGTGGCCTTTTGTGTTACTGTATCTAGTTTTATGTACCTTTCTTACTGTATTCCATAGTGCAATAAAGAATATTCAATCAATCAATCAATTCAATCAAGAGTAGTGTATACTTTTACTTACCTCAGCAATTTGCGGAGACCATGATAAAGTGCTATCCATAGACAACCCAAGTTTTTTATCTTATCAACGAATGACGAGTGATAATTGAAGCAATCTCTTCCAGAACATGGTAACTCTAGTGGATAATAAGGGATTGTGCCAGACTTTGTGGCCATATCCATAGAGTAAGGGCACGTGAAGTGCTTATTGAGTGCATTAAGGTCAACGATACTCTGACTCATATTCGCGGTCTTGCCAACGCCTAGCGATCTTAAAAACCCCCACAAATGCTTCAAAAGTTTTGAATTTGCAAATGTTCTGTAGATGGTGTTCTTTTTTGTCTACTTTTGGCCCGATCTTGACTAGCCATTACTTTCCGGATAGCTGGAGTTAACCATGGTGCGGGCACATGTTTGACACGAACCGGTCGTACCGGAGCATGTACGTCAAGATGTTCGTGAGAGTAGAAGTGAAGTACCCTACCATCGCATCGTCATTATTATTGAGTAGCGCTGGTGACCAATCTATATTTCTTATGTGATCTCCCAAGCGTTCCAGAACCATTTGCTTAAAGTTTAGAAGACGGATTCTAGGTTTATTTTTGGGAGGGCGCACTTTAAGCGACAGAAAAATTAGCGATACAATCATAAGATCTAAAAGCGAAGGTTTACAGTTGGAAAAATAATGAGTGGGTGACGTGATGGGAAGAATGTGAAGATTAAGAGATTAAAAGAGATTAACTAGTATACTTGCTCTAGCATCTTGCTTCAGCAGACATGTGTTAAGATCACCCATGAATATGACGTGATCATAAACAGGGACTAGGTTTTCGAGAGTATTTTCCAAAGAGTTGAAGTAATCTATTTGATCATTGGGACTATACAAAGCCCCCAAAAAAACTTTTTTGTGATGGACGATTACTCTTTATCATAAGTAATGACATTTACATAAATCATCGACTTTAAATAGCCTTTACTCATAAGAATGTACTTTACATGAATTTCAAATTTATTTACGGGTAGGTCAATTACATTTTGTGGAACTTTATTGAACATAGCAATGCATTTACCCAGAAATGATCTTCTGGTTTTTTGAAGTCTGAAGCTTGGAACGGCAAGTTTTGTTAAAATTACCCTTTTTTGTGAAGGAATCGTAATGTTTTCTTGGGTACATAATATTTTCATAGATGTATTGAGAGACAACATATGTATTAGTCAAAATATGTATTTCTTCAAATATTTCTTTGAGAGATTCCTTCGACCGTAAATTATATATAGCGCGGACAGCTCTCTTTTGTAGAATAATAATATCTTGAATTAGCATTCGCAGAGCCCCACAACAATAGGCCATACATGAAAATAACTAAAATATACCAATCGTGCCGATTCAACATTTGTCAAGAGTCTAATTCTCTTAACAGTAAAGGCTGCAGAACTCAGTCTACTTGACAAGTATACGAGAATCCCATTGCAGTCGGAAATCTAGTGTAACACCAAGAAACTTTGTCGATTCTACCAACTCAACTCTTTCACTATTTACATTTATAAGTGTACTAACATGCCTCCCATTAGGAAATGCAAACTCTATGCATATCGTTTTATTTGAATTGAGCTTTAAATTATTATTATCAAACCACTGTAGAACATTGTCGAGAGTATCGTTTACATCATCAATCATTAAACCTCTTAATTTTAAACACCAAAGAGCTGTCATCTGCAAATAACTATATATATAGTTAAAAGGAACGGAAATGACTATCTTTGGATCATTCGTTTCCTGCAAGTATCAAGTTTTGCTAGAGTCGCCATCTAGTGGAGGTGCTTTTTTAGCGTTTTCTTTTTTTAATAGGTACCTACTTCTTCATAAATGACGTTACACCAAAGAGAATAGAATTGTCAGTGTTGTTATGGATCTGATAACTCGGATTGATAGCAAGTTGATATTCAATTAGTTCGAGTTACGCAAACGCAATTTCAATTGAATGAATGCTGAGAAATTATTAAAAGTGGCATTAAGCTACGGTATACGATAATATTATCTTGAAATAGTTTTTATAAATAAAATACTTATGCCATAGCAGGTCTAGGTATTTTTCATTAAAATATTTAACAAAAGTTCTGAAAACAATAACAAGTAGGTAAATTAGTTTTGTTGCTATTAGTTGAATTTATAGCAACAAAACTACATCAAGTCTCAATAGTGTTTTTACATTATGTGTGGTAAACGAATGAATAGGGTTTATTAATCAGTAACAAAGGCCATAAAAACGATAATTATAATAAAAATCCGTTTATTATCTATATACTTGCTCGAAATGTATCAAATATACTAAGTACTCGTACGAAATAACCTGATTTTTGGCTATAATGACATTTGTGCAATGTACAACGTGCAAATAAGTAGGTAATTGAAATTAAGATTTTTTTTTAAAACTAAGATCAGTTATTAAGATCTTATTAAAAATTTAAAAATCAACAAGAAACATCCCTTCGAAACGAACAGCAAGGTTATAACTTTAAATTAAAATCACAAAGACACGTACAGTATATATAATATCGCTACTGAACTTGCATGTTGACGGTGAATATCAAGCCAGGTGTTATGTTAATTCGTACAGTGGGTATGTGCTTTTTTGGCTCTTACAATAGCTTGACTTCCTACTCAACCTACTCTAGAAATCAGTTTTATTGAAATATATTACTTATTAACTACCTAGAGTAGTCAAGCTCTCTTAAAAATCTCTGTGGTGATGTCGTATGCTTCGGGTCATGCTCGTCAACGGGTGCTGCCAGAGGGGGTGAGTCAGCATTGGACTACTTAATTATGTCCATTTTCTTTCATTATTAATGATGTATATTGATTTGTCAATGAGTATGTATGATTTCTGATATTGTAATGAAAAGTGACTTCATAGTCGAATTAAGTCACATTCTAATAAGAGTTATCTGTCTAAATAAAACAGGAAGATAAAAACAGCCCTTGCTGAGTTTCTAGACGGTTCTTCTCAGTACAAGGTCTCCCGCCGTAGTTTTGCGAACCGTTGGCATAGTTTTCGACATTCACAAGTATTATGTAACAGTCTAGTCTGAATTGATTTTGACATTTATATAAATGTAATTCGATGTGTGGATGCATAATGGCACATATGGAAATACTGCACATAAAAATAATCTGAATTCTTTTGCTCTTGTTTTTTTTTAAGCTTTTTGTTCTTGATTCCAAACCTGAATTCGAATGAATCGAGTCAATTGAGTTTAACAGCAACCAATAAGTTAGCTCATCACTAATGTTGACATATAAACCAAACATTGTTCCTTTACACGTAACATAATAAATCAGTTAAACTTACGATTCAAATAAAATAAAATAAATTTTAAATTTAGTTATCATAAGACACACGAAACGGTGTCATATTTTTTCATTTTACATAATCAATTTGCTTTAATTACGTCAGAAAGAAAATTTGAACGAATATGATAGACAATTATCCGAAAATCGCTAGTGACATCTAGTTTGATTTCAAGAACTATTTTTTTTATTTCATATATACATACTTCCTCATTAAACTAAATAAAATAAAGTTTGAAAAAAAATAATTCGTTCTCTATGGGGAGTTTCGAAAGTTTGATGAAATTTGTGCGCATTCTGTGAGTTATTGATCCATACGGAGCTTTAATCTTGTAAAATAATAAATGTATGAATTACCGGTATCGTTCATTTTGTTCAATGTTGCCATTAACCACTGGCAAAAGAAACACTCATGAAGAAAAAAACATTTTGTATTTACTTTAACGAATTTTCTTATTATTCGTGAAAATATTAACAGTAATCGACTGATTTATACCACTTGGCTGTGACATTTATATTTTAATTTAAATGTCCCAAGTAAAATAATTTCTAAAGTTATTTTATTATGGACATTTAAATTAAAATGCAAATGTCGCCACCAAGTGGTATAGTCAGCCAACTAATGAGAAAGTATTAAAAACATTAGTTCTCGAAATCAAATTAGATGTCGCTACGGTACATTCTTGATTTCTCCATGACAACCCATCTGGTTTTTTCATGTTTAAAAGTAAATTAGTTTTTAAAACTCAATAAACAACTCACATTCTTTTTGTAATTTTTCGTATTTGTATTGATATCTAAGTTTCGAACCTTTCAAATTTCATTTTTTTATATGTTAGGTAAAAGGAACGAAAATAATTGTCTTTGGTCAATTCATTTCGTGCAAAAATCAACTTTTGCTATCTAGTGGAGGTGCTTTTTTGGTGCTTTCGTTTTTATTAAGAACTTCCTCATTGAGCGGCTATCTCTTAAAAGAATTGCTGTTTTAACCAGTTGGCTGCAATAGAAACATCGTAAAGGAAATTTCCATAAAATATTTTTTAATTATTATGTTTACATAATATGATGACAATGGCAACATTAGAATGAGCTGACGAAAAAAGAATACCTATTATAATCAGGAGTCTATTTTACAGTTATTTAGGCAATGTGTTAATATAAATTAAGCAATTCTTATAAATGAAGGAATAAAAAAATAATACATATACTAGTATAAAAGAAATTCAAAAATACCTAGTACAAAAACCTGTTCTAGTATATACGCTTCACGGTCACATCTGAATTCAACCAACCAACCAAAAAGCAGTATTGGATTTGGATCGATGTTCGGGCCTTTATTGCGAAGAAGCATTCTTCAAGGTTCTGCATCAAGGACTTGGAATTGCCTTACTAATTTTACTCAACTACTTTGGTGTAAATTGAAATATTTACGTGAATTGAGGGTAAGTGTAAATATTTGGTTTGTTTTAGAAATTGGTGCGTCTAAGGAGCTCCCTTGAGCCATAGAAACCAACATGGCGTCAGCTTGTGAATGTAAATAACTATTGACATTTTGTTCTACTATGCATCACGTCCAAAATTATAATTTTCAGTTGCCTTAGATTTGTACTGATTGTTATTGTGAGTATTATCTAGTCAAGAACAAGAGACATCAAACGTTTTTCTTATTAATATTTCAACTTTCGGACAATCTATATAGGTACGTGTTAACTACACACAGCTGGCGCTAGTATGGTCCTAAAATGTTCTAGATTAATATATTTTTTAATTCGTTTGGTTGAGTAGAATTTTTGTATCATCACAATTAGAAAACAGTTCCCCACATAAGTAGTCATGTTGAATGTGTCTATCCTTTGCATGATGCCATTTTTATTATTTTGATAATATAATTTTAAACAAGGGTTAGGTTACAGAGGCTTCAGTCTGATGGTAATGTTAATGTTTCCAAGAAGTAATAATAAAATGTTATTGTTTTCATTGAAATGGTTATAAATTGTTATATTATGCAGGCAGGGGAAGAATAAACTTAGAAAATAGTAGTGATTCAATGCATTACTGAAAAGAGGAGCAAAAAATTCCTTACCTAAATTACAAATCGCATGGGGATTCCTCTCAGTAATATAATTTCACATAATGTTGTAAAGTGAAATCTTTGCATCGTCCAATGGTCTAAATAATTTATGTTTTTCAGCTTAAACTGCTTGGATACGAGTTTTGATATCTTTGTTATGGTAAGTGGAAGTACCCAAAGTACTTTCCTTATTATATGTGAACCTGTCAAAAATAGTCTTGTTCGTAATTTAAATATTTTATTAATCTACTAATAGATTTAGAATTTCTTTGTAATTTTCACTATGTAGCAAACTTAGAAATATACAAATTAAAATACAATAGGTTCTTCATTAATGATAATAAGCCGCTATACTTTATGTACAAGAATTAGAAATATCAGCCTCTTCAGTAGGGAAAGGAGCCTTAATTGCACTATCTGCTTGAAAGCTTTCACATCCTTTCCCCTTATTAGCAAATATTTTTATACATATTGTTTGTTTTTGACAGGTGCACATATGTACACGCATGGTTGGTTATATGACTATTGCATATAAGCTATATGCTAAAGGATTTTCTTCATTTAATAAATTGGTTGTGTTTTCATTTGATTTACTAATTGAATGTGCTTTTTCACATACACCTATGCATTTTCTACAGTTATTACATAAGTATCTGTGGCATTATGTTACAAATGTCCTTTTAAAAATTCTAATGAATAGCTATGAATAGGACTATAAATTATCCTTTGTACTAACTAAAATTGAGTTTATAAACTTTTAAATGCTTGTTAAAAGATATTGAATTGTCTTTTTCTACAATAAAAGTATTCATAAAAAAAATAAAAAATACCCATATTTTCTACTGAGTTGCATTACGTATGATCAGATATAAATTACTAAAAATATATCTGTAGCAAGGTTTAATGACCAAAATAAGATAATTTATTTTATTATCTATTGAGCTAAAGAATAAAAATAGTGGTTCTAGACTTGAGGTATTCAGCAAGTTTTGTATAACAATTAATGAACCTTCACCATTTACTCAATTTATTAATCCTCCCATTTTCTTTACCATCATACATAATTAAAAGGTAATTTCAGGGGAAAATCTTCCCATTTTCTTTATCCTCATACATAATAAAAAGTTAATTTCAGGGGATTTATTTTGTTTGAAATATATTAAATATCTGCATAAGTTTTTAGAGAAATTGGTAATTACAATTGATTATCAGTATCTCTCGCATTTTGCTTCAGCAGCATTATTGCAAAACCATGGCTGTGGTACTCCTATATACATCAACAATCATTATAATGCTAACAAAAAGATTAGCGACAGAATGTGTTTCTTCTTATTTCATGAGTTTAATGAAACAGTAGTTCTGTCTGTAACTATTAATTTTTTTCCTAAAAGTTGTTTATTTCACAGATGCCGCGCACTCGTAGGAAACACTACCCATCACACTCGAGATCGAGATCCCGGTCCTACGAAGCCAAGCGTCGTCGTCTTGACGACAGTGTTAGGGAGGGATCATATAGAAAAAGAAGCAGAAGCAGAGATCGTGACAGGTATGTATCCAGTTTTTATTAAATATGACTGTTATACGCTTCGTCACACGGGGATCTTTTTCCAATGATAGAAATGACTGTGAAGCTTTAATTGGTAGTGTTAAATGGAAATGGCTGTGTCAAAGCTTCATTGACTTGAAACAATATGCCTTGGTACTAACAATCATAAAGTATCCAATTTGAGTTTAAAATGTGCGATATTTTTTTACAAATCTATAAGTTTCAACATAAATATACTAATGCTGTTAGTTAAAAGACCACTACAAGATGTTTTGTTCCGAGTAAGTATTTTTGCAAATGTAGCTAAATGATATGAACGTTATCTACATAAATATTTCATCCTATCACGAATACGTCGCAAAGTCGCAATGCTTTAGTGACGCCATCTATCTTCAGAACTTGACATTTCGTGGTATGACTGTGTTTTGTTGTCCATGATACCAATCTCTAGATGGCGCTAAATATCCGCTGTAAATGATACTAGACGTGTTAATAGATGTCGTTGTTAGGCAACCCATTAAATCTGTCTAAAAATAATTTGCAGATTATTTTTGCCGAAGTTAAAATGTAGGTGCTTATTTTGTTTGCATAAAAATGTGAATCTAAAATAAATATTGAACTATAGGTTTAAATAGACGAGCATATTATTGGATAATCTCAGAAGTTGGGGCGATGCATTAATTTAAACCAATATTACTTGATAAACACTAAAGTGTTGAAATAAATTTCACTGACTCGCCGTTCATTGGCGTTACATTTCTGCCATCTTTTTTATTCTAATGCCAACATTCAAAAACAATGCTGTCATAGTTTTTCGCAAGATGTCGTTTTCCACATCAATCAATGTTCTAATTTTCATTTATTTCAAGCGCCATTATCCATACTTTAGGAATTTACGTTTTAGGAATACTCAAATATTAGTTGAACGATATTAGAAATTACTTTTTATAATTAATACCCTTTTGTATCATTGCATACTTAAATCGATATCATACTTTTTAATACGCATTCATTAACATTGTGGGAGCCACCTTAAATATTTATTCTGTTTTTAGTATTTGTTGTTATAGCGGCATCAGAAATCATCATCTGTGAAAATTTCAATTGTCTGGCTGTCACGGTGCCTGGGATACAACCTGACGACAGACGGACAGACAGTAGTCTTAGTAATAGGGTACGGAATCCTAAAAATTTAAAGCATCATATTATTCGAACATTGTCTATCACATTTTTTTTATTACCTTATTGAATCTTAAACTATTTTATATCAATCCTATATGCTTACCTCACCTACAATTTTTGAGATACCTCTATTTATCTTTATTATTAAATCGAGAATTGCAGACACAAAAATCTACGTGTTTAAGAATCTCGTAAAAATATGAATCTCCTCTACTACATTTACTAATTTAATTTCATATATTATTTTTTTGTGTAATTTAATCAGTGCAAATATAATAAAAGGACAAAACATATATCTGGCCACTACCCTTGTTTTTTAATGCAACAACGATATATTTCATAGTTTTAAACAATAGGTGGTGTGATTAAGATGTAGGAAATATAACGGTGAAACGAGCTCGCTCTTGCTCAACTATAGATCGTGCCCTAGGCTGCAGGTCCAGTTAGCTAGTCTATGTATCTAGATACGCATTTAGGTTTTCAGACATTGCTCTTTGACTGATACAGATTTTAACGTTACTCTTCTCTTGATTTGCATGACAAATTTTTACCCTGAAATCCGATGTGTAAGATTGAGTGAATGATTATATTTATGAATAACTAATAACCACAACCAATAGACAATCATTCATTATATGATTTTAACCGACTACAAAATCTAAAAGTAAATCGAAATCCTCTTTATAGTATGAGGATAGATTATTGGAAAAAATTATGTTGAGAAAAAAAATCAACTGTTCGAATTCTCTATGTTGAATATTTTTATTTATATATAGATATTAAATATTTTAGTGTTGCCTATTATATAAAAAATATCAATAGGTATCACAAAAAAGAATGAAATAAATATTTACGGTTGTCGATGATGAATAAGTCGGGACAGGTTATTTTATAAGTATACTACGTAATGTTAAAGAATGAAAATAGTTTATTTTAATTTCCAAGAAAATTCGGCTTCAAGGAAGCTTAATAAAAGTAAAAAATATTTTATGAAACTTCTATTGAAGTTTGAAGTCTGGCGAAATTAAAATTTGTCGATATTAACTGGCTGACTTCAGAAGAACTTATATGAACAATTGTTCACGTTGACCTTTTAAAGTCTGTTAATTTGTGTATCTTCAAAGTTACTGAACCAATTTTCTTGAAACATATGTTGTTTCTTAAGTTTCTTTTGTTCATTAAACAAAAAAAAAAAAAAGAATCGCTGCAATCCGATTTGACATCCACTTTTCGAGGAATATTTCAAATATTTCAACAAACATACAGTCCAGACATATATTTCAGAATATTAATAATAGATACATATTACGGGTCATATTGATAACATCCTTTTTGCAGTCTTAAAAACCGTGAACGTTTTTACGTCTTAACTGGGAAACGCGAGATGTAGGTAATAATAAAATATTAAATATAATTTCAAATGAATACACGTGTAATGTGTCTGTGTCACTTATCAAAATCTCAAAAAGTTTTTTATACTAGTAGTAAAAAATTGATTAATTAATTACATAATATGACCTTATGTAATTGATTCAAGTCCAAAAGAGTATTATATAATACTATTATTGCCTATTTAATTAGGTATAATGACATTTTTATTTACGCATATATGTATTGTAATTATTCACTACGATGGTTGATAAACTTGGACCGCTTGTTACTTGCAAAAAATCTTTCTTATATATAACCCACGCATAAAATTGTGTGTAAACAAAATTTCAACTACGTTATTGTGCAGGCAAGTCATAAATTCGTAAATATCTGACACAAGGCGGCGCCGTGAAGAATGTATTCGGAGTCGCGATAAATAAGTAATTTTACAAAGTTGCCTTTTGCTTGGATTAAAATCGTCCAATGGAAGTGTCGTGGCGGTTTTTTACGATCGCTCGTTACGAGGTGCCAATCAATTATCGTGTGATTAAGTTCGACTGTCGGGACGAACAAATTGGTTACTCAAACTTGTGTCCCGTCCGTCCGACGAGCGCGGCCTTTTCTGTATACTACGACTATATCGAAACGTGGGAACACACTTGACTTTTTTCAACATTCATACACAATAGATCTGCACGTATTAGTGAGAGCTTAAACTGTTGCTCTCATTTCAATGTTAAGTGTTGGTATATGAATGGATTTTGATCTATTTTTGCACTATTGCGTGGAGAACTATTATGATAGTTTATATTTACAATTTCATCTGGAACATCCTTGTAATTTTTATAATATCAGATAATATTTAGTAAATTTAAATCATCAGGAAAGAGATGATGAATGTTAGAAAAGATCATGGTAGATCCATCCTACCATGATCTTCTTATTTTCCAATACATAATACCAAATGGAATCAAGATATCTCATTCACTGCCTTGTTTGATTTCATGTTGTCTCTACCAGTAAAATAGAAAAATAGTAAACAGTATTATGGCTTACTTAAGTCTTTACAACCCGTTCTCAAATACCTAGTTACCCGTCCCTTAGAGTAGTTCTGAGCCCAAATGTTCTATTACTCAAAGGGATACACCCTTTGATTTTCACATCTATTGGTAGAAAGAAATTCTAGAGTTTGATTGATATAGTTTGGAGTTTTGTTGATTGATACTTTATTTTTTTTTTTCATTTTCTCAATTCTATATTGAAACGAGCTGAAATTTAAAATGTATTTAATTGTTATTACATTCAAATCTAGTGTACTTGGTTTAAAACTCTTATAATGACTAATGCATTTCCTTCTGAGTGACTCGCCGATTTAATATCTGTTCAAATGTTTGGCAATAGGTACATTATGCACTCATAATGAATTAAACCGGGGCCCACACTATAAATTGATATTTCGCACAAAGGACCAGCGACAGTAATTGCCGGTTGACTGCCACTTGCGTTTGATCGTGTTGTGAAAATTATTTCTTTTATCGCAACGGAGTATGAATCAAGGATACAGCTAACATCGAACTGTAATTTATAACAATCGACACTAATGCACGTGTAGCGTAATTCATAACTGATAATCACGTACCTTGGACCGAGGGCCACACAATATTTATACTCAGAATTATACTTGAAGTACGTGTCAACATGTTTCCATTTTTTTTGTCTTTAGGAACATTTGTGTGCCAAGGACCTCTGAAATGTTCATTACTTAAAAGTTTATCTTTATGTTATCTTTGCGCAAAACGTTTATAGTTTTGGTTTTCACCAACTGCGATCACGTCATTCTCAAATATATTTATAGATGCTTTAATTAGTGCATTAATAAATGAACATACCTATATGTATGTGTGCGTTTTATGTGATACTGTCACGTGATACCTGAATATGTTTAATTGTCTCCAAATTAATCGATCCTCTATGATTGTCTAGCAAGGAAAGTTGTCGATCTTTGTTTGGTGGAACTCATGAACCTTTCAGCGTTATATAGGTTTTGTTTGCTAGATCAAAACATGAATTTGGTTCCAGCGTTTTCTGCAGTGACAAATGGTGACGCGAGTGGCGGGGGGTGGGACGAGAGGAGTTGTTCTTGACACAGTAAAACTAGAAGTGCAGTAGGTGCAGCCGCGTCCCACGCTGAGCTTTTTGCAAGCAACTAATGTTACTAGCGGTAACCTGTCTGAGCTTTAAAGTATTACTTAGCGTAGCATTGTTGCTCTCCGCAAAACCTGTATTACAGGCCTTTCAAACATTCTAGATTTTACTTAAGAAATATTTGCAAACACTATACAATGTTAGTCACTAAATGTATGTGTCACCGACGTAGCAGGCCACATATCTAATCTATGGTTGTATTATATTTAAATAATAAAAAAAAGAATAAATGAGTTCCCAACAAAGTGGTGTCAAAGAAGTCAGGAAAAATTTTACTCACGATTTCAAATATTTTAAAATATATTTTTTCGTAGTATTTAAATACTACAAAGTCGTGCGTAAGTAATAATCCACACCATAAAAACGTAAGTACGTTCCATATTCATTATTTTGTAATTATACGTTTTCATTTCATAACTATCATGATAACCCGATCAAAAGCTAAAGCTATGGGCACCGATCAGAGCGAGGGCTCATCGGTCGGCTCAACATCATCTATTAAGGCACAAAAGCTTGCTGCGGAGGCTGCGTACCTCCGCCGTATTGCGGACTTAGAGAGGGCAGAACGTCGAGCCTCCTTAGAAGCCGACCGCTCTATAGCGGAGGCAGAGCACCGTGCGGAAATGGCCGCAATTGAGGCCACAGAGGGAACCAGTCAGGTTTCCAGCCGACGTTCAAGTGTTTCTAGTCGTCATAGTCGCCGCACCGTTCATAGCTGGCTAAATGAAAACGTAATAAAGAATACTATATCTTATAGTGACAATTTAAATGTACAGGTGCCACCGATGGCTAGCGTGGATATTCTAGAGGCGCATTCGTCGCCATCAAGAGACGCAGAGGGTTTTGCAGCCCCCATTTCATCGAATGCCAGCATGCCCCTACCACGCACACGTACCACAACTAACGTCACATCTAACATTCCAATAATAACAAGTGCCCATTTATGTACAGATACGTGCCCTGAGACTTCTGTGCCCGATTTTGCGTATACGTGCGCACCTATTGGGCCTCAACCTACTGAAGTTAATGGATGCTACGTACCGCACTACCCAGTCACAACTATGGCGCAAGTTACCTCTGTACCACACCTTGCGCCTTGTACGCCCCGTTTGCCAGGGTGTGCACACACATACTTAATGGCTCCTCAGAACTTCGGTCAAGCACACGCTGCACAGGGCGTTTCTAAAGCCTTTCCACCACGGACGTCGACTGTAACGGCGCCGACTGCGCCTGTCTGGCAGCCACCCTGTTCTCACTCACACTCTACATTAGGTACACAAAACGCTCAAAAATGTAACACAAATAATAAAGCATTAGAAAATAAAAATTCTATTCAAAACTTAGCTGACGCCATAGCCAGCGTCGCGGTAGCAGCAAAGACACCAAAGGTAAGCTTTCCTCTTCCTATTTTTGAAGGTCGGCCAACAGACTGGCTAATCTTTAAGAAGATTTATGATGAAACAAGCCCGTCGTTTACAAACTCAGAGAACCTCATAAGAATCAATGCAGCCCTTCGCGGTCCTGCACGGGACTCTGTAGCTGTTCTTCTTGTAGCCACACGCGACCCTTCGGAGGTCATTCGAGCTCTCGAGACTGTTTTTGCTCGACCTGAGCAAATCATCCTGACTGAAATTGCATCCGCTCGTGCACTTCAAAAACTCTCCAGTCACGAGAGCGCGAATGAGCTTAATGTTTTTGCTTCTAAGGTTCACAACTGCGTGCAGGTGGTGCGTCTGCTGCATCGGCCTGAATATCTTGCCTCCCCAGAGCTTTCGAACGAAATTGTTAGCAAATTAACCCCGCTGCTTCGGTCTAGATGGGCTGATTTTGCAGCCAGTAGGGAAAAGGCGGATCCATATAAATATAGGCTCGAACTTCTGTCCGATTTTCTGATACAGGAAGCCAACTTGCGGGTCAGATACCAAGTTTTCAAGGTACCTGAAGTGAAAGACAAACCTGTGAGCAAAGAACATTGTCATACTACTTCTACCGCGTCATCTGTACCAATTGTTTCTCCGATGCCAAAAGAAAAGATGTGCTCCTACTGTGAAACTTCAGGTCACGTGGTAAGGTCCTGCCATAAGTTTAGCGCCCTTTCCTCTGAAAAGAGGTGGGAGTGGGTTTCTTCTCAAAAGGTCTGTCACAAGTGTCTCATTAAGGGCTCTCATCAATATCGTAATTGCAAAAGGTTTTCGTGCAAAATTGTTGGCTGTAAAGGCAAAAATAGCCACCATACCCTATTGCATAAGGTTTGTGCTGATGTTGTCATCGATTTTGCTGATATTGTCACTGAATCCTCTGGTGTTCCTGAAGCTCCTGCGACTCCTGTAGTTGTTGGTCATAACTCGGCTTCATCTCCTGAGACTCCCACCGGTCGGCCGTTACTTAAAATCGTAGCAGTAACCATCACGGGGCCCAAGGGCAGCTTCGATACTTATGCGCTGCTTGATGACGGGTCAACTGCGACGCTTATTGACTCTGCGGTGTGTAATACCATCGGTGCCCAGGGTGTTAAGAGTCACATGAGAGTGGACGGCATCAGCGGTATATCAAAAGAATCTGAGGTAAGTTTTGTCAGTGTGAATGTCAAAGGACGGCACTCTCTCAAATCTTATTGGCTAAAGAATGTCAGATCCATTCCTAATCTTGGCCTTAGTAAGCAATCGGCAAATAAGACAGACGTGAAGTCCTTTGATTATCTCGCAGACATTGCAGACACCTTATGCTATGATGATGTCACACCTATGCTGTTGATTGGCATTGACAATTGGCACCTTATAGCGTCTCATAGTACACGTCGTGGATCCCTTTCGCAACCAGTGGCATCCTTGACTGCCCTCGGTTGGGTTATTTACGGTTCTTTAAAGTGCAAATCGAAGGAATCTTATAACTGCGTTGTCGTAAATCATCTTGAAGCAGAGTTTACTGAATGCTTAGACTCCAGGCTTGACACACAGTTACAAGAGTACTTCCGAGTGGACTCTATCGGAATTTCCAAAAAAGATTATTTTTCCAAGAATGAACAAATTGCTATTCAGATCTTAGAGGATACTACAAGACGTCTGCCTTCAGGTAATTTTGAAACCGGTTTACTTTGGCGTCCTGAAGTTTCTAAAATGACAGTGCCCGATTCTTTCGATCTCGCTCGCTCTCGTTTTTTGAGCCTAGAAAGAAAAATGAAAAGAGACAAACAGTACGCGGATGCTTATCGTGATAATATCGAAGCCATGATCACCAAAGGCTACGCGGAATTGTGCAACGATGAAAATAACGACGGGGTCTTATGGTATCTTCCTCATTTCGGTGTAGTCCACCCACAAAAACACAAGCTTCGTGTTGTCCACGATGCGGCTGCTGCATGTCAGGGAGTCAGTCTAAATTCTTTGTTGTTGCCAGGGCCAGACCTGCTTAAACCACTTTTAGCAATTTTGATGCGTTTCCGTGAAGGTAGCATTGCCATTAACGGAGACATACGGGAGATGTTTCCTCAGACTAAGATTAGGAAGGAGGATCGTAACGCTCAGAGGTTCCTCTGGCGTGACGCCCCCTCCAAGCCTCTCGATGAGTACCGTATGTCTTCGATGATGTTCGGTGCGGTGTCGAGTCCCTTCACGGCCCTATACCTTAAAAATAAAAATGCAGAGGACTATAGAGATCGGTTCCCAGCTGCAGCGGACGCCATCGTGGACAACCACTACATGGACGACTATCTAGGGAGCGTTAATTCGGA